AATAATATGTCAAATGCGAAAATGAGAAGCAAAATTCGAAATGGCCACGGAACGCATTGGTGCTACGCTTCATTTCACATTTCATTTCGATATAATGTTTTACACATTAATTTTTCAGATTATTCACTGATGCTATATTGAAATCGTTGTGATGTATGTGTGCAGCTCGACAGAGAATAACACTGACATGACACACGGATAAATGAAACAACGCAAAGTAACGTAACTGTCCGTGGTGCTGATCGGTTAAAGTGACCCTCCCACAACTTCAATCCATGTGAGGGCAGTTTGGAGCTCTGCAGATGTGGACCACAGAGAACCTTTTAACGTATTATTAATCTATTGTAGCTTATAAATGAACTCATTCACGAGCACTTAAAATGTTTCAAACTACTGAACTTTGATAGAAATCATGCAACATCATTAATGTGGAGAACGGAGGCTATCAGTCTTTAACGTCAGCTAAATTAAGTGTCAGTGTAAGGAAGTATATCTCTTAAGCTGTGGATAAAGCACAGTAACCAAATTATAAATGTATAAATGTAAGCACAGTAATGATATTATGCAATAAAAAGTGTAGCTATCTGTGCAAAAAGCGGAATGTTTTGATATGACCTCGCCACTTTCTGCTATACTGCATTCACTTGATTTTTTCTAGCCTCCCTATAGGCAAACTTGCTATTACGATAGACTAGCTAATGTAAGGACTTCTTGTCTGTGTTTGCTTTGTCTGCTAGACGTCTTTCTCACTCTTCTGCCAGTTGCATCCCCCTTTCACAGTTCTATTATGATATGTAAGCGACTTCATTGTTATACCACTATCTGTGGAAAAAAAAAATGCTAGCTAGCCATCTATAGCCTGAGTGTTTGCTCCTTATCAGTGGCGCTTGAAAATATACTGCATGTTTTCATGAAAAACGTAAAACGTAAAGTTTAGTCTACACAGATTGGCAATTTTACAGAAGACGAAACATTCTTCACTTTAATGCAAGTCAGAGGCGTAGCCCACGTCTGGCCACTCCCTAACATGAAACACGGCCACCCTTCTGGCCACCCCAATTATGGAAAGTGAGACAGTCAACCATCATCAGTCAGCCATCATTAATAAAGCATCAATATCGCTTTATGGTGAAAATCTGCCATCGAGCTTGTTTTAAGAGTCTGACTACGCCGCATTCAGTAGTTAGCCTATCTTGTGGTTATAAGCTAATTTGTGGAGCAAACAGGCGAGTGAAACCTGCCTTCAGCAGTGTTGTTCGTTGTAATTTTTACAGTTGAATCCATGCATGTGTTGAAGGTTGCCTTATGCAGTGTTGTCTGGCTAGCTTTCTAATCAGTGGCCTAAACGAATACCTTCTATGACCTGTCCAAATGAAATGTGTAAAATTTATGTAAAAAAAAATACAATATAATTATAATTTAAATACAATATATAATTTTAATTCAATACAGTAACGCTATGTTATGTAGTTTTTTCCCTAGCAGTTTCACCCCCCAGAAATCTCTACTCCAGCTACGCCCCTGATGCAGGTTAATGTAAACAGATTTTGTTCCAAACAGTTTTCATTCATCATGATTTTTTTACACAGTGCTATGTTTAAATGATGTACAAAAATTAAAATTATGACAAAAATGGAGATATATTTTTGTTAGCTGTTGCGTCTACTTTCAAAAAGCAAATCGATGGAGATGGCCAGACGTTGTTTATAAAACATTTATTCAAGTAAAAATGATATTTTACAGATTAATCCTACTGGCTACGTTATACACTGTTGTCTGCGTAACAGCTCGCGGCATCTACTGAAGCTCCGCCGACATTCAGGTGACGTGAATTCTGCGGCCACGTCACAATAACTGAATGAAGCTTCTGCTCCTGCCAGCGTCTCTATTCTGTCTGATCTGCGCCTCACAGCCTCACTAAACACAGAGTCAGGCTGACTAGCATCAGGAATCACATGATCACTGGATCATACAAAATCAATAAGAGGTGATATGAAAGGAAGCTTCAGTTAACTAAGCTACTCGGACGCTGTAAAAAAAATCGTACAAGGTTTGAAAACAAGGCTTTGACTAGTGACACTCCCCTTTACGTTAGAGAACCTCTTCGACGGCTTTGTTTTCCCGCCATTCGTGTAAGTGAAAATCACGTGACCCCCCAACAGAAGAAGTTCACTGCCGCGGGGAGTTGTGGGAAGGGTTTGATGACGTATACACCAGTGGCTTCTGCAGACCCTCAGTGAGGACTGGCATTCTGTGGTAAAGTACTGAAAACATTTCCTTTACTTCTGTTTTAAAATGTTTCTCTGTGTTTGTTTTTGCTGTAAATGCACACTAGAGCGGCAGTAGTTGTAGCAGAGAGCGCCGCTGCGGCTCTTCATCATGTCTGTTATTCGTTTCCTAGCTTAGCAAACTTAGCACACACTGGAGTGGGCTAGCCTGCCTGGTGAAGGCAGACAGTTAACCTAAGTTGAGCTTTTTCCACATTGGCTAATGTAACTTTGCTAAATGATGACTTATTCACGTTTGAGCTGTTGTGGTGTTTAACGACGAGCATTATGCTTTGAGAAATGTTGTCGCTATGGTCAACGTAGCACGCCTAGTTCGCTTTTGCTTTGGAAAAAAGCGAAGTGACACTGAGCTTTGTGTTTTACAGTGTAACGATACATTATCGACAGGGTTAGTGTAACTCGCACTAGGTTTTCATAACCTCAGCACTTAAAGAATAGGTGTATGAGCTTACTCCTGGTGGAAAGATGAAAGTGGGTATCTCTTGTTTACCATTTATTGAAATGACTGCATGGATGAGTCCGGCTATCGAGTGGGTGTAGCCGTAGAAAACAGACCGCTTTGTTGGCTGTCTAAACCACACTGTTATGCCATCTCATCGTGCTTTAAATAATCAGCTAAACAGTTCAGTTAACTGAGTACACCGAATAACTTTGGCGGCTGAGCTCACTGCGGTCCCTCTTTAATTCTGTAACGTTAGTTGGCTACAGTAGGCTATGAGGTTGGCTGTGGTCGCTCCTTCGCTTCACAGTACTAGAAGTGAATCACTTGGATGCTCTGCAGTTTAAAATAGAGAGGAGTGTCCTGTTACTAGGACTTTTCGGAGCCGCCAGATTGTGCGCCTTAACGCCGAGCTTCTCCTGGTATTTTGAGACATTAATCGCATGCTGGAAGGGTGAAACGTAATGCATCTGCATCTGTTGTACATGATTAGTTAGCCATCAGAACTGTCAGAGACAGAGCAGAGAGCTGGTGTTATGCCTTTAGTAAGCGAGGTCACTGAAAACATTTATGGTGCCCTGTGGTGAGTCCTTAGCCTACATTGTTTTTAGTTGCCTAAGATTTGTATCTAAAACTTTGCTTATAATTTTCCGCTGCAAAACTGAGTTGAGTGACGCCAGTGTGTTTTTCCAAAGTAAGATGTATGTTTTTAACAGGTGGTCTAGATTTCCAGTGCTTTAACAGACTGAGAGAGCAGAAGTGTTGTATTTGGTCCTTAAGAAGAAGATGGGAGCTGTAGTTTCTCGTTGGAGGGTATGTATTGTGTGGAAGCTGACATAGTTTCACATACATAGTTTTTTTTTGTGTGTGTTTTAAAACGTGCTACCACAAAGCGTCTTGTATTCAGTCACAAGTCTGTTTTCATCATGGCACTTAATTTGTTGTTTGCTCTGTATAAAGGCTGGTTTCAAGTAAACCACAAAGCAAGCAACTGTTCTAGCTAAAGTTTCTTTAGACCATCTGTATGAAATGCACATTTATGTGTGACTTAAAACAGTTTGCATTTTGTGTTTAAGGTATTCTAGGTAAGATATTTAGGTATTATGGAAACCTAGTGTGTTAGCTTGTGAAAATAAAAGAACTTGCTTAGAAGCGTTTAACAGGACCTCTTAATGTAGTTTTTTATTTCACATTTTCGGTGACATGTATGCTTATGTTTTGCTTTTAAAGATGTAACGTAACAGTCAACTTTTGTCTTTCAGACACAACCAACCACGGTGGAGGTACTGGAGGGACTTGATAAGGTAAGAAGCAATCTGCCCCTAAGCTAATAGGCCTATGGCTTAAGGCTGTTCTGTTAATATTAACTTTGGAACTCATTAAATCATCCAGTGCTTCTGGTACTGAATTTGTTCTTGTTAAATAAAGCAATAGCAATTAATCCCAAGTTGCTGTAAATCATAACTGTATTTTTGAATGTAGATAATGTTAGTCTTGTAACACTACTCAGCCTACTTATGTAGTCCAGAGGTACTGGCAGAGACTGCTTTGCATTTATTACTAGACTGACAGACACACGTGTTGGGGTGTCTCCCTTTGCTCTCTTTGTACTAGACCTGGGGCTCAGGCATTTTGAGATCGTTCTGAGATATTTTTGGAATGAGGATATATAATACCACTCACTGTGGGGCTGGAGAAAGTGACCTGCTCACTGAGAAAGAGCTGAATTTGTTTTTCAAATAATGGCCTGCATGTTGTATGAATAGTATAATTGCGTTCCACTGAATAACTCTGGTCATAGGACCTGCAGCTGGCTTGGCACTGTGTGTGACTTAGCCTAAAGTGATTAGCTTGCCTTTCAAGCTTGAGGGATACAGTGGTAGGTTTGTGTGGAACTGAATAATAGGATCACTGGCCAGATATCCTCTGTAAAGCTGCTGTTACAGGCTGTAGTTCCACTTTAGGCGTGTGCTATGACAAGATGGGCAGTAAGACAGTATTGTATCATGATGAATTATGTCACAGAATGCTTTTCTGAGCATGTCATGGATATCATTACTTGAAGAACACTCTCCAACTGTATGTTTAATTAAAAAGACTACATAATTAGTACTGAATCCTAATTGGATTTAGTGCAGCAAGTAAGTAAAATGTTGAATAAAAATAATTGTACTCATAGTTTTTGATACTATTTTTAAATATGGCACTACTGGAACAATCAATCTATTCTAAAACCAAAATATTGTAACAGTTTCAAGTGTTGTTTGTGTTTTGTCATATCGCCCATCCCAAGTTCTACTCTGTTCTCATGTACTTAATCATTTTTTTTTTTTATTTTGTTGTTCTGTCTTTAGTATAGAATAAAGGAATTACAGCAACAATGTTGTACCTCCACTTTAAGATTAGAAACCTGCTGATATACTGATAATATTGGCCAAAATTGAGGTCTTGCGGAATTATTGATATTGGCAAAATCTTTGCTCCCATCCTACAGTGTTTATTTTTCTTATATTTTGAATTTCTGCTGTTTGAGTTTAAATGTAACAATTGAAACAATCACATCAGTCCATAAAGCATTGTTTAAAACTATTGGTGTCTGTTTTTAATCTTAATATTAAATTATATTGGCTGATCTTATTGGTAATTTGAATTACTTTTACACAGATCTGAGAGGTCTGGGTCAGTGTCAATATCTATTGTTTTTTTATTTACACATCTGTTATGAATGATACTAACGCTAATGCACAGTAATTTAGAAAATATAGAAATTGTGACAAGATCGATCTGTGCAGGACTATGTGAAAATAAATGTACATATTTATTTTTGTTGTCCTAGTCTTTTGAGGGATTGAGACTATGTGCTGCTGTTCATGGAAATCTGTTTTTGCCATTATTTACAGGATATCCAAACACTCGAGGAGCACAGAGAAAAGAATCAAAAACAGCTGAAGTTATGGGTTTACAGATTACTTCTGTATTCAGCTCTTCTGTACTTGATAGCCTGCATAGTCGTTTATGTCTGGTACATCCCTGAACAGCTAATTGGAAAACTTATAGTGGCATCACCCTTTTTAATATTTCCATTGCTGTAAGTGTTCTTTTTTTATTTCTAGATCTAAACCTTTATAGTGCAACACGGTTTATTTGTCAAAGGTCCAATAAGTAAGTTTTTGCATTTTAAAATAAATTTTGCCTAATGATCCTAAGTTGTCCGTGTACAATAGTAACACTGAAACACAATAAATGACTTATTTAGCTGATAGACATTGTCTAAGTAAACTCTGATTAATGTTCTGCTGATTAAGGAACTAGATGTCACATGGAAGTTGATACCAATACCATGAAAATACACACACTCGTGTACATCATCTGTCTTGAAAGTACAGTAAGGCATTTCAATATGTGAGGTCCATTGCTTTTCTTCTCGATTAGTGTTAGTTTGAGGTGCTATTGCTACAGCAGATTCCAGTGTCACATTGCTTTTCTGTTACGTGGTGGGCATCCCCAAATTATATCCTGCTTGCAGGCAGACCGGAATGTCAAACCAATTTTAGATCCATCAATACAGAAACTAGCAGAAAACTACTATTTATAATAATAATAATAATAATAATAATAATAATAATGCCACACAAAATGCTTTACAGTGGGAAGGTGTAAAAGAGAAAAAGAAATTTGGGAAAAGCATTAAAGAAAAGTACCATTAGGATTCTTGCATCTTTGCACCCAAATTCTGGTTCTTCTGACATTTTTAGTTGCAGCTAAATATTTGCTGGAAAGTAAATCTCCAGGAGGTTGCAACGTTTTTCATTCATTACTCCTTGGAATCTTGTCTTTCAACAGCTGAATGGTGTGTAGTGTGATATTAGTCAGCTTTTCTGCATCCAGTTTTTTTTTTGAATAATGAAAGTGATGAAAACCTACTTCACGTCCTGCTGCCTTCAATAGTTCCTTGTCAGATCTGACATAACAACAACAACAATAATATTAATTATTATTATTATTATTATTATTATTAATTTTGAAACTGACACATTCTGGCCTTCTGCCCAATGACTGCTGGGATAGGCTCCAGCACCCCCCAACGACCCAGAAGGATAAGCGGTTTTGTGTGTGTGTGTGAGAGTGAGAGTGAGAGTGAGAGTGAGAGTGAGAGAGAGAGAGAGAGAGAGAGATGCTTAAACAATAGAACACGAGAGGGTGTGTGGTATCGTGAAATAACATCACGGCTGTGATTTGGTTGCAGGCACGAGCCGAAGGTGAGATATTATTTGATGTTATTTGCGATAACACACAACCTCAAGTGTTCTACTGCTTTTATACAACAGTTAAATAAATAAAGTAAGAAATAAATAAACTGGGCCGTGAGCATGGCACTTAATATGTTTTAATGTTAACAATTCCTTCCGCCAAATTATAGTTCCTTAACAAGAAGCTTGTTGCTACGTCAGAGTAACGAGCTCCGCTCACTCGCTGCACAGCCGGCAGTTCCTTCTCCAGCTCCTTACACAGACCAACTGACAGTTTGGGAATTTAGTGTAGTCTCATCTTCTGAGTCTGACCAAATTGGCTGTAGATCAAATGTAATCTTAAGTGTCCATTTTCTGTTTGTGCGCAAAGTAAGAAGTAAAAACGTTCAAATGGCTGGAGCGTCTCCTACAGCTGTCAAAGTCATTGCTTAGCAACGGCGTCTCAGTGGAGTGATACAGTGTTTGTGAAAAACCCCTGATGTTATGGCGAAATATCAGCACGGTTAGAACGCTTCTCAACCAATCAGCTAAATAAGCATTAGAAATTTTACTTATTTGACCTTTTAAGTAAAATCTACTATGTGTTCATCATAGATGCTTGGTAATTTGAGAGGATCAATATGAAATAATGGATCCTTACAGTGTGAGACGATGTTGATTTTTGTCCGCAGAGTTTGGCTTCTGAGGAAACTGTTAATTGCGTTATATACAAGAAGGACAGAACGAAATGGTAAAATGTTCCTTTTGAGGTTTGACTCCTTTTTTTAAATCTTAAAATTTTGTCACAAAATGGCACCAGCTACATGTAGGTAACTGTCATTTAGATTGAATTTTGACATCTTGTTTTTTTTTTATTGCCCTCCATAATTTTTTTTTCTTTTGTATGCATCAGATGAGAAATTGGAAGAACTGAAAGCTGAGAAAAAGAAAATAGTAAGTAATCTGCTGGGTTCTGTGCTACTTCTGAATGCTGCATTCTTCTTCAGATTGATGTTAACTGTGGTTCATTTTGCTACCAGAGCAGTGGCCTTGCTGCCCAATAATACCCTCATACCTGTGTAGAACACTTAAAATCTAGTTATTTCTTAAGGGGTCAAACCAGAGTGCAGACCCTCTCAGATGTGTCAGGCATCTTTGCTCCTGTATTGTGAGTCTTAACCTATAATGCTAATGCATTGGGTTTGCCCTTGTAGTGCATTCAGCTTTACCTTTGACAGCAGGGTACCACTCTGCTAATGTTAACACAAGAATTTCCTTTCTCCCCACAGTCATTGAGCTTCTGCACTTAGCAAGGAGAGATAATTTCTTCTTCTAATAAATAATCTAAAATCAATGCAGACAGCGGTTAATTGGCACAGAGACTTTACTTCGTATAGCGCTTGGCTAACGGCTTGTCTTTAAATTAATAGTGTTTAGTGCTGGGAGGAAATAAATCTGAGAAATTGCTTGTCATCTACTGTCAAGTCTAATAACTTTCAATAATTACAGCTGATGAATTTTCACACTCTCCATTATCAGAGTAGGGCTTGTAATTATTCTTTTCATTAAATCTAAATAATTAGCACTGTTTGCTCTTTTCCTGAAATGAGTTTTAAAACAAAATTAAAAGGAATAAAATGTAAAAACTGCCAACTTTAGCATAGATCTTGACAGCAGTCTTAACTGCACACTAATCTCCTTGTTGTACGTTATTAGAAGGGGGTTTTCCCCTTTGTCTTATTGGTGAGATTTTAAAAATCTATGCTGCTCTATAATATGATGGTTATTGTTCTTGTGCAATCCTGTTTATACAAAGTGTGTTGTAATAGTAGAATAAATTAATTTATCTTACAGCTTGAGCAAGTGATGGAAACGGAAACATACAAAAACGCCAAACTGATACTGGAAAGGTTTGATCCAGACTCAAAGAAAAAGATTGTAAGTAGTTTAGCAATGTTGACAGACTTCTTGACGGGATATTTCTCCTGGACCGTTATATTGTTTTTCATCAATTGATCTATTTCTTTTTTTTTTCCAAGGAGCTGGAGTCTACACCTGTCGGACCTCCTATGACTCCAAGACAAGGTCAAGGTTAGGAGAAAATTTATGTACTGGATATCTAGGAAAAAATAATAGATTTGTGTTTTTGTTTTTTTGTTTGTTTTTTTTTCTTAAATCCGTTTTTAAATAAGCATAACAGATCTCTGACTGTCGTCTCAGAGCTACGTCAAAGGCATGTGACTCCTCGTGCTCCCGTTGCTGTGACTCCCAACCCAGCAGTCGCAGCACGTCCTCCCCTTGCCCCTACAGCCTCAGCTGCCTCCCCTGCCCTGATCTCAGCCCCTGGCGGTCCCCCAGAGAGAAGCCTGTCTGCTGCTGGTGCCCACCACAACCTGATGAGGAGACCTGCCACCCCCACAGGCACCCCTGTCCCTGGGATGGGTAAGTGAGAGAGACACATTATTGTTATAGCAGTGTTATTTTTACTGCTTTTAATAAAATAGCTCTGTATTTCAGTTGAGAGCCTGGATTTGACATGTGCTTTGTATGAATAACTGTCAAGGACGTTTTTGTTTTACATGATTTTTAAGAGGAAGATGTCTATTTCTATGAAAGTATGAAAGTCTCCACAACAAGGGTACAAGTAGTATCCTTAACAGTGGCGTTAAAGACAGTAATTTGGGAAGCATTGTTTTGTGACTGATAGTGCTAACATCCCAACAGTTATATAAGTGATTTTTTTTAATTATTATTTTTTGTTTTGTTTTTTCTTAGTGCAGAAAGGTTTGGTAGATTTTGTATCAGTGATTGCAACATGGCCAATCTGAGTGTACATGCGTTTGGAAAATTAGTAGTGAAAAGTAATTTGATACAAAAGGGTCACCACAGTGATTCCATATGCTGGTAAATTAATAAGCAGCAGGATATCGGGACTTTGCCAAGTGTGGTAGAAATGACCAGTCATCTCACTATGATCGTTCTTGATGCTAAATTATATTAATTAGAGTTGAGGATCGCAGCAGGCTCACACTCTCACAGCCGTCTATAGGGAGGACCATTTCTGAGTCATTATTAAAATCTGTCGTTGTCATCCATTTATCATAGCTGACTGCCTGCTGCAGAGGTCTATCTGAGACTGAAATTTTTTTTTTCTCTCTCTGACCTGGACATCTGGACATGAATTCATAGATAATGAGTTGGTAAGCTTTTGTGTGTGTATGTGTTCACAGGAATGCACCCTCCTGGGCCACCCCTGGCTAGGCCTGTCCTTCCACGTGATAGAGGAGCTATGGACAGGGTCATTGAGTACCTAGTAGGTGATGGGCCACAGAATAGGTAAATATTGTTCTGCCTCCTGAAATTTGTGTACAAAACAAATGCAAAATTTAATGTTGTGGGATTTTTTATTTTTATATTTTACTCTTTTTCTCTGTCTTAGATATGCTCTTATATGCCAGCAGTGTCTGTCTCATAATGGCATGGCTTTAAAGGAGGAATTTGAATACATTGGTAAGATTTAGGGAAATGCAGAACACTTTGTCAGTCTCCATCAAACACAGTGACTTCATTTGTCCTTTAACACTTGGCAGCTCAGTATATCATAGATCTCATAAATGCCTGGACCATCTCTGGCCTTTTGAGAGCAATAGTAGATTGAATATGCAAACAAGTATAGTCTGTCCATCTGATGTGTTTATGCATCTTTTAGAGTATGTGTGTGCGTGTGCTTGGGTTTCATTTTCATATATATTAATGTGGTCCTGGATGATTTGGATCAGAAAAGTGTTATATGGGTCCTGTTTCAGCGTTCAGATGTGCTTACTGCTACTTCTTGAATCCTGCCCGGAAGACACGCCCCCAGGCTCCACGCCTCTCAGAATTCAGTGGCGAAGGCAAGATGAGCCAGGGGCCATCTACTGTTGCCTTGGAGACAGACCCGGGTGCCCCTGCCTCTGCCTCAGGTATCTGCTCTTTATATAACCTCCTTAGAACAAATATGAAGTTTATATAGTAATATAGAAGTTGAGATGATGTCAGCATTTTAGGCTTCATGTGTGAGAGGGGGGGGGGTTCTTTAAAACTATGAACAATATTCATTATTCATGAACAATATTCATTGATGATTATCTGGTTACATATGAAATTAGTTCATATAGATAGGTTTGTCAGTTCAAAGCAGATTTAAATTTAAAAGTATTCTATTGTGGTAATGGAAAATATTAAGTAACTGAAGACTTTAAACTGTAACTGTGTAACAGTACACAGTTACAGTTTAAAGCATAGATGATGATAAACTTTTTACAGTCATTCTGTGATGTAGGGCACTACGATTCCTGCGACACAAATAACACAAACAAAATCACAATACTGAGATAAAAATATATTTTAGATATAAACATGAAATTTAACATGTAAAGAAGTGAAACATTGGCTTAAGCAAATCTAAAGTTTTGTCCTACCTGTTGTACATGCTGTTTTATTTGTCTATTTCTTAATAAAAGCCTAACCAGAGGCAGGGGCTCCAAAATAGCTTAAGCCAAATTACATATGTTGTTTTTTGCAGTTAAAAAAAGTAAATAACACCTGCAGACATTTTTCCTGCAAATACCAGTACACAGTTACTTTACATTTAATGAAGTTAAAAAATAGAAGAAAAATATTACTTGTGGCCTGTGAACAGCCCCTTTGGCAGATATCACAGCTTGCAAATGCTTTTTGTAGGCAGATGGGAGTTTTTGTTTTTGTCTTAGGAATTTTCACCCACTCTTCCTTGTGGAACATTTCTAGTTTTGCAATGTTCTTGGGTCATATTACATGTAAATCGTATTTCACAGACATCGTAGGACTTTGAGGAACATTCCAATAGCCTCAGCTTGCATTTTCTTTCTTTTCTTTGTTTTTGTTTTTGTTTTAAGTAGTTCATAGTGGATTTTGTGGTATGTTATGGGTCATTATCCTGTTGGAGAAGCCATCCTCTTTAAGCTTCAGTTTCCTTGCACATTTGCATGCAGAATTTGCTAATAATTAGTGGAATCCATTCTTCCATCTTGTGCAGTGTTTTCTGTGCCTCTGGCTGCCACACAACCCTAAGCCATAACAGATCTACCCCCATGCTTAACACTTGGCAAGATGTTCTTTTCATCAAATGCACTTGTTTTCAAAATGCCTCTGGTGTATCCAGCTGTTTTGCATACTTTATATATTCATTTTTATGATGAGGTTGCAGGTCAGGTTTCCTTTTCATGAATCTTCTATGCAGATCATGTTTGTGCAAGCGTCGCTGTGCAGTAGAACTATGCATCACCACTACTGAGTTAGCAAAATCTGCCTGCAGATCTTTTGCTGTCCTGTGAGTTTGTGTTACCTTTCTAGCCAGCAGTGAGTAGTTCTCTTTGATAGTTTTCCTGGTCTTCTACATCTTGCCTTGGCTTCCACGATTCCCAAAAACTGCTATGTCTTAATGGCATTTTGGACAGTGGAAATTGTGAGCTGGAAGGTTTGTGTTTTTTTGTTTTTTTTTTTAATAACCTTCCTCTGCTTTGTAGGCATCAGTTAGCTTCATTTTCAGGCACTCAGCCAGCTGCTTGGATAAGCCCATCCTTGTTGAGTTTTAGCATAAAATTTGAAGAGCTGGACAATTGATTACACTTTGAAATAGTCGTCAGCTGGCAATTCCTAATGACCATTCCTAACCTAACCAGATCCATAATAATCAATCCTAACCAGTCAGGTAACAAGTTAATTATGTTCTGAGATTTTACAAAGTTATTCAGTGTTTTGTCCAAACAAGGGATTCCACATTTACGATTTTATGTCTATTTTTTTAAGTTGAGCAAATATAAAATGTGCACTAACATTTGCAGAAAAAGTTTACTCTTTAAAATTGTTTGCTGCAGATGTTTATTTTTTTTCTTTTCAAAAATCAAGAAAACATATAATTTGGCAAGGGGTACCAAAACTTTTGCATACAACTGTACATGTTATGTAACAGTGTTTCTGTATTGTCTCTGTTCAGTTTCTTATTTTATGATTAACTCTTTTGACAGTCACTGTTGTGGAACTTTTGTTTTTAAACCTAGCTTACGTATTGTCCCACTGATAGAGAAAGGTTGTCTCATGATAATCACAATATATTAGATAATGTTTATTGTATTTACATAGAATATATTTCAGGTCTTTAACTTCATATACTCTTTTTTTTTTATATATATATATATATATATATATATATATATATATATATATATATATATATATATATATATATATATATATATATAGTCATAATCTTTAGCCTTCTTAACATGAAGTTTCAATAATAAGAATGCAAAGTGCTATTTTTCTGTGTGTAGTTTCGTATGCACACTCTTGCAGTACAGCTAAATATAAAAAAAATGCTGACCTGCCCAGGAGAGACAGGTGGATACTAAATAAATATGGAAAATTCTAATGACTGGCTAGTTTTGGTGGTAGTGTTAGTGATAGTAGTAGTAAGGCATCTGTGAGTTTCACTGTTAAGCTTGTGCTTTGCCCATCGGTTTCTTCAGTGTGAGAATTGCATCATACAAAGGGTAAATCCCTCCAGCTCATTGCCTCTAAAGGGACATTTGCTTGATCTGCTGCTGAATCTGAGAGCAGATCTGCTGAGTGATTAAGGGATTTGGATCCTTTTATGTTGCTCTCCCGCAGCGCTGCCTACTTTGTTGGGGTTTGGCCTCCCATGTTTCTACCTGCTTCTCAGTATCTTGCTTGCTCACTCACTCTGTCACTCATTTTGAGTGATTACCTTTTTAATAAGTGGATAATATGTTTTTGTTTTGTTTTTTTTGAGTGAAGAAGCAAAAAATTCTGAGCATTAGCATTAACTCTTTAAAATCCAGGGGATTAATTAATAAATATTACTCCTTGGATCTTTTATTGTAGCAGTGTAATTGACAATGTCATCTTACATTTATTTTTTGCCCTTCTTGTGTAAAATTTCTATTGGAAAAAGTATGCTGAATATAAAGTTACACAAAAATTAAAGCAGTACTGCTCCAAAAATGGTCATGTTGCTAAAAAGTTGAGGATGGGGCAGCTGGCAGTTAGCCTTATGAGATCATGCTAGCTTGTCTCTCCAGTAGCTTTCATTCAGTTGCATCATTTTAAAATCAGTGTATTGTCTTACTGTACTTCTTGCCATGCTTGTTCAACAGAGGATAAATCAGAACCCTCTGGTCTGGTGGAGGAGGTGAAGCCTAGGGAGCATGAGGCAGAAGAAAGCCAACCAGAAGACGAGAAAAAGAGTGATCCAGAGCCCCAAACTACAGTCTCAGACCTACCAGAGAAATCGGGCAATGAATTAGATGTGTCTGCCATGGAGGTGGAGTAGAGTGTTTCTACAAATCTGCTGTCACTCTGCCAAGGTGTGCGTATTTATTTGTGGTGTAGCATTGTGCTTTGAGGGCCAATGGCGGTTTTGATTTGGTTTACTTTTCCCCCTTGTTTTTGTGTTTGTTTGTTTGTTTGTTTTTGTTTGTTGTTGTTGTTGTTGTTGTTGTTGTTGTTATTATTATTATTATTATTATTATTATTATTATTATTATTATTATTATTATTATTATTATTATCATCATCATCATCAAAAATCTGGGGGAGATGCGGCAAGCTAGTCGGACAAACGTTTGGAAGTCTGACATACCAATAGTGCAAAGTTAAATTTTTTTTTTTGTGTTGCTGTGTTGATTTAGTTTTTGTATAAAGGTGGATGTTAAGATGATTTCATGTTCAACATGGTTAACTAGTTATACAATAGCAGCTTTCTTTGACTGTTTACATGTCTTCATTCTAAAAAAGCACCATGAAATGACATCACAATACAATTCATCTCCTTAATGAATGGATGTACCATGTTTTTAGGTTCTAAAATTACTTTATGTCGGAGGAAAAAAAATCGTGTCAGTACTGTTTGTTTTGTGACTGAATGTATTTAAAGCTGTTTTTCAACCTGTACAATAATGCAAAACTCCCATCTATTCTTAGAAAAATATTTATGATATTTATAGATTTTACACATCTTTATTACAGTGCCTTCTTTGAAAGTATTTGAGTAGGTTTACAGTTTTCTAAACACATGCAGAGAGATGGGTTACATGTTTACACACATTAAGGTACAGACATTGGAAAGTCCAGAGCTATTAATTTCTTCATAGAGGGTGAAAGTGGGCAGTATCAAATGTATGTGCCTTTGTTTATGGCATTTTTGTATAAGACAATAAATAGGAATTATTTAAATACTACATATAGAATTTTTGCCTAAAATATGTAAATATGTTTTTTGTTCTCCAGGTGCACTTTGCGCAAATAAAGTTATTTTTAACATTATGCTCATTTTGTGTTTGTCTTTTGCTAGCTTTAACTAAATACAGTTTATTGGTAAACGCATCACCGCTTATGTTGGTCATTTTAGGTTTTTCATCTCATAAACAACAAGGTGCACAATATTGAAATTTAAAATGATAAATGCTAAGCTTACTAGAAGATGCTTAATAATTAAGGACTTCGATGGTCAGTTGGTCTGCCAACTGACCCTGCTTCTCTAGAGAGGGAAAGGCATGTGTGTCCTCTGTAGAAATGGGTTATTAGGGCTGTTAGTGGGCAGCTTTATTGCTTACTCTCTTTCCTGTCTGTGTTCTAGCTCTCCTGACATGCAGGGACATTGAAAAGAACCCGTTAAAACACAGTCCATTTTCATTAGCAGGCCTATTTTGGCTTGTGATCATTTTATTTTAGCTCATTGATCATTTCAGACAGTGTTAGATAATGGGACTGACACACAAGCCCAACCCAGCTTGATTGCTTGACCCTCTTCATTTGCAACAAGAGAACTATCTCTACCCATATTGCACTCCTGACAAACACGTGCTCTCCTCTGCTCTTTTGCTCGCTCTTGCGCTCTCTCTCTCTCTCTCTTGCAGGTCAGCCTTCCACATTTGTCTTTGGGTTTTGATAATGCATGTTTACAGAGACATGACCCTCTGAGTGTGGCAATGCATCACTGTCAGCAGGACAGTAGCACCTGATTCCAGCGCACTCCGCCTCGGCTTGACCCCTGACAGTGGCACAGGCTGTGGAAAACAATAACCCGTCAATAGGACATTTGAACCTTTCCCAGCAAATATAATGTAGATCAAGTGTTTGCGATTTGCCACCGTTGGGGGCTTGAGTCCATGGCTGCGTAGTAGATTAATCTCTGTTTGTTTGTTTGTTTATATATATATGTATACACATTTTGCTGGGTACATGTTGCTTGCCCCTTCCAAACGTGGGGTTTTCCATTTTTACATCAGATTTAAGCGCCTCGCTATCCATTAGACCGTTCTACACTGACATTTGTTTTATTTGACACTTTGCTACTGCACTGTCAGTAAAATCATCTTGTGTGTTTTGAATTCCCATCAGTTTAAGGAGCATACACAATCTTCCCACTCAAACATAGTTTTTCATATTTGCAGTACAATCAGTTTTTTTCATGAAGAATTTCTGTCAAGAATAGATAGAGTGATTAGAAACAAATCCAGTCTGATAGCTCATTCTTTGAGAGCTGTTTACAGATTTCATGTAGTGCCTTCGCCTCATTTGTCTTTTCTGTTTTTGCCTTTTTCTTTTTGATGTACTGTCATTCCAGTTAAGAATAATCCTCTTTTAGAATTCATATAGATGTATCAAATACGGAGAAAGTGGTATTGCTTTTGGCTTATCTGTCCTGATCTTAGATCAGATGTTGGTGACAATAGGTTTTGCTCGTCTGGGTGTTCTATAGTATATGTTAGAATGCGCAGAACGGAGATGTTCACCAGCGACAGGGAGTGATTCATTATGTTGACCTGTTCTGTGGTCAGTTCTCTTTTTCAGTGCCATCAGGAGCCTCTTTCACCCCAAACAGCCTGCTGACAGCCATCATAAATGTTATCAGACACCGTTGCACGGATATATGTGAGGAGTGTAAGAAAAAAACATCTAAATGAATACATCATTTTTGGCCTTGCAAGGCCCTGTTTGTCCATTCAGGAGAGGTATCCCATCAGCTTTGTGCTATCAGCGAGCCACTAATTGATTTTCAAGGATGACAAATGATGCGGCGGGCAGCGGTGCGGAGGTAATTCTGAGTCAGGAATAGGAGAGTACAGCAGGGCTTACACAGGGTCCCGACTTCTCTTAAATGCTTATCTCTCACAAGTACAGTCTGTTCCACTTGACTCAAATTTATACTGATCTTTTATTTATGCCCTGAAAAAATGGCAGATAAGAAACATAAGTGTTCTTGATATTGTGTTTTGTCATATCTAGCAGCCAAAGATTGAAATCCTGAGAAACAATTTTCTGTCGAAATGAAAGAGCGTGGCCTTGTGAACCCTGGAGGAAAATAACAACGCTATTCCAGACAGAATATGAAACACAGAAGCACAGAATAAGTAAAATAGACAAGAGCAGCCTCCGTGTCACTTTTCCATTTTCTGCCTTAAAGGGGGAACATTTCAAAATTCGCTCCATCTGTTTAAAAAAAAATATATAAAGAAGAAGACCTTGTCGTTATCTTTCTCTATCTATGTATTGAACACCAGACTAAGACTATGCAAGGGAGCGATGTAGAAGACTGAACACCCTGGGTTGCTCTTCTCAGCTCTAGACTGCACCATGTCAATCCATGTATGTATCATTTTGGCATAGCATTTCAGGAGGACACTTGCTGTTTCCTTCAGGAGGATATGAGAGAATAATATAAAATAATGAGATGAGTGTCACAAAAGCAATTAACAAGCCTTGAATATTAGAGTTCACCACTGGATGATGACAAGTGCATCATTATCAAAGCCATCACAGAGCAATACTGGCCCTGGCTGCTTCAGGGAGGCATTAAAATCAAATTAGAGAATTATACCGGCACGTGCCTTTGCTATGGCCTAAATGAGGAGATGCTCTCCAAGCAGTTGATATCCAGCGATTAGTTCTGGGCTCTGCGGTCTTTAAATGCCACAAGACAAAGTTGAGTGGCATGAATTCATTTCACGAAAAGGTCATGAGGTGCCAAAAATATGTTGATTTGAATGGAATTACCATTTAAACCACAAAACACATTTAGGCAAGCTGATTTCCATCTCTCCCTGCTCACTGGGGCCTGTCATAAATCATTAAACAGGAACAATCAGCTTCTCTGGAGCAGAAAAGTCATTCAACATGCTGTAGATCAAATTGAAATTTGCTCTTCAAGTATATTTAGAGGCATCATAACACTAAGAAATGCCAGCACCTTATCACTCACAGTGTTCATAAACACTTGCTAACTTCACCTCCAAAAGGGCAAAAACTTTGGCAGGTACCACAAGTCTTTGTTATTATCTCTCACTCCCCATTCTGGAGTTGCTGAAGAGTACAATTGTTTTGCTAACAAATCTTTCATATTCACAGATCTTGGCTCACTGCATCAAAACAGATGTGCAGGAAACGTGACCTCTCTATGCAGGGTGGATAGCAGATCCATCAGTCTTGCTACATTTGCATGCTATCGCCCTCTGTGCTTGTCTTCAAGCTTGTAACGCTGTTCCTGTTCCGTCTATGGGTCAGTGCAGGGACTTTGACCCCTTATTACGCATACAGCTATGTTCAAATTGGTTCTCTCACTCATACTACTACACAAACCCAATTTGTTTCTTTAAGGCCTGGACATCTACATAGGCTTTAGAGAAAATAGTACAAACCTCAGTTCCAAAAAAGCTGGGACAATATGTGAAATTCTAATAAAAACAGAAAGAGGAGATTACTGAATTCTGTTTGACCTGTATTAAATTGAAAACTCGATCGTTCTCAGCACTGCAGTGACACTGACGTGCTGATGGCGTGTTAGTGTGTGTTGCAACAAGTGGATCAGACAGAGCAGTGCTGTTTTAATTTAAATTCAAATCAAAGTGGATCACTGCTTTCTGTTTTTTATTAGCATTTCACATACTCTCCCAACTTTTTTATGTACATAGCAATGCTGAAACTTTATCAAAACTTTAATAAAACTATCAGAGCTGTAATGAAACCAAACCTTTACTTTTTGAATGCATGCAATGTGTTGTTATCTTCACTTAGAAATCCTAATTGGTCATAATAATGCAATAAATAATGTTTAACTCAAAATCTTTTTAAAGCATCTTACAAATAATTATCTTTGCAGTTGTAATTTCTAGCTAGTTATGTGATATTCTGTTCTATTTTTGGTCCATTGTGAATTTTTCATCTGTATTGCCATCAGTGAGTTCAACAACAGCTGACCTCCTTCACATATTTTATAACTCCATACATAATTTACACTACATTCCTCTGTAATATCTGAAATATCTGAAACTGGTTCATCCCATGATGCTATTTGAAAAGATATTGCATTAGAAATCGATGTAACGAAACACTTACCTAGCTAAAAGGATTTTCACATGTTCAATAATTATGACGATTACCCAACTCAGCCATAATGCAAGTGTGCAATCTGATGCCTTCAGAACTAGCTCATTGAACCCTGTGACCTCTTTCAGGGGTAAAATACACTGTGCATCTACGCATAGAGATATACTGCCCATAAACTCACACACTGCCTGCGTGCTGTAGCATGCGGCTGGTGTTGGTGTTGGTGTGAGCTAGCACACACCCCTGGCACTATCTCATGTGGAAATCATACGAAGCATCCTGCAGGCTCCAGCCTCATTTTATGGCTTCATCTATTACCACTCTGTCATTGTTAATTGTCTTCTTTTTACCTCCGCAGGATTCTCCAAATTGGCCCTATCGAATGTGACAGGAGGAAGAGCATTAAGCATCTGACAAGATGATATCTAAGTTCAATTTCCTCCCCCTGCGCTGATATATACCTGCAGCACATCATTTTCCTTTCTGTCATAAAGAGCGCAATAAATCAGCGGTGCTTATGGAGGCACGGCGGAAAACAGGGCCTCTGGATTTGTGTCCCCAGCTCTGGCTATTAGGGAGCCATTACTGCCACGTTCTGCTCCTTCAAACAAAAATGAT